ATTTTAAAGTGGTATTGTAGATTTTAAAAAAATGTTAAAAATTAAGATATATTTACCTTAATAAAATCTTAGAAGTTGGGGTAATAAATTTTTAAAAAAATATTTTCCTTTTAATTAAAATAAATTTATTTATAAAATAATTAAATTATCTTTAAAATGAAGGGCATTTGAGGTCATTTGGTAAACTTCCTTTGGTTATAAATAAGTCATTCATTTGATAGAAAAAAGGGGAAAAAAAAAAGGAAGAAGGAGGAAAGGAGAGGAATAGCAAACTTCAAGCATCTTAACAATTCTTGAAATTTTGAATCCCAGACTAGGGAGATTTTAACTTTCTACCAAAGGTAAGCTCCAAATCTTTGCTTAGGAGGAAAAGTTTTAAATACAAATCTCAAATTTTTTGAAGGACAAAATCAAGTTTAACCTTTGGTCTTTCTAAATTCAGTTGCTAATAAAAAAAATCGTGTTGTTTTAAAATGTGTTTTTTTTTAAAACTCATGTATGTACACTGTGATAACCTAAATTAAAGATTGTTTCTTGTTTTTTTTTTTTTAATTTATTGTAATTTATATTTATTTTGTAAATTAATATATGTTATTTGATTTTGTAGGATTTTGTGATGACAAGTATTTAATTTTTTTTAAATATATCAAATTAATATAAAAAATACCTCTTTAATATTATTTAAATAAAAATTAATTTCTTCACAGTAAATACTAAGAAAAAAGAGAAAATTAATCGAAGCCACAGTGGGCCTAACAGAACAATGGGTATGTGTCCACGTTGTTTCTTACAAGGTATTTAACCAATTGATTAAAATAACAGCAAAGTTAAGTGCAACCCCTGCATATATTTGCTCAAACTATATTTGCACAAACTATATTTGCACTTGTTCCGGTATATTACCGCCAAGCCTACGAAGCCATTGTGGGAGAAAACAGGTTATGATAGCACCTGAATAAAAGTACACTAAAAAAAAACCTCCCAGTTGTGGCCCCAAAAAATGGGTTTTTCTTTATAAATCATTCCGTGTTGGAATCGTTGTAATAGAAAATGTTGTCAATATTATTTTAAGCATAGATTAAAGTGCTCGTTTCAGCACATAAAAATGTGGATAATATTAATATTTTTTTAATACTAAAAAAGTGTTGAAAAATGTGTAGTTAAAAAAAATATAATTGTTTTAGGTTTGTTCCATTTTTTAGATCTAAATTTTATTACTTTATGATTTTTTAATAAATAAATAATAAGACAAATTAAATTTCAAAATTTAAATTAAATATATAAATAGGCCAAAAGTAAATTAAATAAGGATTCATATAGACCTCGAAGTTTAATATAAATTATAATTCAATAAGCATAGAATTCTATTATTAAGACTCTTAATAAATTAATATATTATTTTTGAGTGATATGAGATAGGATACATTCAATTACACAACCTCTAAATTTTTTTGAATATAAATGATTTTAACTTTTGAAAAAGTACAAATAATTACCACTCATTTTGATTTTAATAATTCTTTAAATTATTTTTTAACCTATAAATGTAGAATATGAGTAACAAATATAAAATTTGCACCACTTTTACAATAATCCAAGCAAATAAAAAATGTACAATTACACGATTAGCCTAAATCTAAACTAAAATATTCTCTAGTTATTAGATTTTTTGATTCGCTAAAGATAAGAAGGTTAGTGTAAGGATAGATTCGAGGTCATCGATCTCGAATGTACTATGTGTTTATTAAGCTCGAACCATTTTCCAAATTGTTGAGTTCAGTTACTTAATAATTGAGGTGATGCTTTAGTGTCATTTTTTTTTTTTTTTGGTGCAAAAGGGAAATATTATAAATGCAAATTAGAAAGTGTGATACACAGAGTTTCCAACCAAATCGTGGCAATAAGTTTCATTATAGATTTGAGGAACAAAATCAAAAATAGAAAGGGAGTCCTCCATTTGAAGCGCTGAACTTGGCCAACACATCTGCAACCTGTCTGCCTTCTCTATAAACATGAGTTATCTATACTTCATCCAATAGATTGAGAAGAGATTTGCAAAAATCAAATAACGGGAGATAAACCTTGCAAGAATGTTGATTTTTCAAGCTGTTCATTGCAAAAATGGAATTAGATTCAAGAATAATCCTCCTAAATCCTCTTTCGAGAGCTAGTTCAAGGCCTTGTTTAATTCCCTAGAATTTTGCATTTGTATTGGTACCTATGCCTAAATTAAGAGCATATCCCACAATCCAAGAACCTGAGTCATCATGTAAAACACCCCCAGCACCGAATGGCTCTAGATTTCTAAGTGTTGAACCATCCGTATTGATCTTGATGAAATTCATGGGTGGTTTCGTCCAATAGATCGCAATGAAATCACTAGAGAACTTTTTGACAATGTGATTCCTAGAGCTCCAAAACTCAGCCGCAAGACTTAATGATTTATGCTGAATAGATCCAATATAAGATGTATTTCTAAAACAAAGCTGATTACGATCAAGCCATATATTCCAGAGAAGGAAACAACAAATCGATGACCAAGGGAGTTTTGGGCCAAGAAAGAAGAGTTTTGAAGAGCAGTTGATCTTGATCCAATCAAGAAGTGAGAGTGGAAAAGAAGATTAGAGAGTACTAGGGAGTAAGGTGATGCTTAAGTTGAGTTCTTCCCAATTTCATGATAATTATAGTGAGGATGCCCTCACCTAATCCTCTACTCTTGAGAAACTCACCTTCTTGGATACATCAGGTCTCAATTATCTCGTTAAGCAAGCCATGTAGGTGCCTCATTATGGCCTATAAATACCCCCAAGGGTTACCTTCTAAAGGTAATTAAAACTGATCTAAAACTTTTTTTTTCCATTCTTCTTTAAGAATAGATCAGATTATTGCTGCTTAGGCATCAGAGTGTCTACTCCGAGAACCAACCTTTGAGCTTTGAAGGTCTGTTCAAGAAGAAGACTTGGACTGAGAAGGACTCACTGGTTCATTGCAATTATAGTTAGAGTGTGAGACAAGGGAACTAACTCTTAAACCCACAAGAATGCATGATAACAGACCATTGGATCAAAAATTCAAAACTTAAAATTAATAAATTCGACGAATTACATGATACTTATTATGGTATATATAGTTCAAAGTGAATTAGCTTTTAAATATTTATATATTTTGTAAATGTAAATTTATTATGGCTTCCAAATATTCATCTAGACCTCCCTAATCCTTGAGATTTCCTTAAAAAAATTTTGTAGGCTTTACAATAAATTAATAAATATATTCTTTCAAAATTATAGTTATTTGGAAATTTTAAAATTAATGACTTAGAATTCCCTAAATTTTATTTATAAATTAAACAATGAAACATCATATTATTTCTAAATGATGGGGATTAAGTTATGTAATTTAAAATTATTAACACTTGTATAATAATGCTGGAAAAGTGTTGAAATTTCTTAAAATTTCGATTTGGTAGTGAAGTGATGTAATTGCTTAAACTGTGCTTACAATATCCTAACACGGTACCCCAATGTCGGAAATTAAGTGTTGTGATTGAAGAGTTTTTATTGTAACAGTAATTGACAATATAATAATATGTTTAATTGTAAGTTTACTATATTAAATACATAATTAGAAAGCTTGACTACTAATGTGACCCTAAGTGAAAGACCAAGCCATGTAGGAGTCAATTTGTAGCATACCAATGTGTTTCACACACAATTATAAGTGTAACATTTTCGTTTTAGAAATTGAGTAAGAAATAAAGGCAGTTGTGTTTCACATTCATCTAGATAAATAGGGAATTATAAGTAATGAAACAAATGAATCTTACTTTCACAGGTTCTAGTTGGGTTTCAAAGTTAATTGAAGTGAAAATCACTTCATGTTGATGCCATTTTCTGGTCTGCCTATAAAAGAACAGCAACGTTTTCCTACATGCTAATTTCCATAGTTTTTCTGTTGGAATTAAACACATAAAGTACCTTAAATGGATGATCGAAATCCCACCAGCTTATAAGAAATCATTTTTTGAAGCTGCATTACGAAGCAAAAATGCAGAATACTTCAACTTGGAAGTCGGAGGGGTCTCACAGCTGATACCAGACTTCCGCTTCAGTCTGTTAGTAAAGTCGTTGGCCCTGGCGGGAACACACTGCTTCATGCTGCGAGCTCTGCAGAAACTGAAAGCAAAGATATAACGAATTGGTTGGCTCAGCACCATCCCCAACTGATTGTGAAGGAAAACTACGCGGCAGATACTGCCCTTCACCTTGCTGCCAAAGCGGAAACACTGAGACCATCCAAGTTCTTCTCCAGCATTATCGCCAACTTGCAGTAGAAGACAATACTCCTACTCTCATTGGGAGGGTGAAAAATGGCTGCGGAAACACGACTTTGCATGAGGCTATGATTTTTTACAGTTGTGGTGCCAATTGCCAAGTACTGTGATGTGGCGAAAAAGTTGGTTTCTGCAGCCCCGAAAGCGGCATATATTCAAACTAATAGGGGGAGTCTCCGTTGTATTTGGCTGTCGAAGCCGGTGTCAAAGTGGAAATAGTCAATCATCTCTTGGGGAATCCTTTGACTGCAAGACTATACCAGAAGGGCAGTCACCAGTGGATGCTGCCATTAAGTATAAAAGATATGGTATAAAAGCATGCATGTCTGTACATGCATTAATTAATTCTCTTTTATTATTCTTTTATCACATTTCTTTATCTTTAAAACAATGCAATTATTTCCTTAATCTTCTAAAACTTTAAAACAGATTACATGTTGCAAATGCTAAGCAAAAGGCCGGTGCTAATAGGCCTAACAGACGAGAATGGCCGGAGGGCGCTTCACTGTGCGCCAGAAATGGATTATTTGAAAGCAATAGAGTACATTTTTCATTAATTTTCCTTCTGAAATCAATGAAAGGGACAATGAGGGTCTGTATCCTCTTCATGTTGCATGTGAAAGCGGCAATGTTAAAGCATACCAAGCATTACGGTCACCGTGGCCTGATCCAACGGAATTCCTTGACAATAATTACCAAAACATCCTCCACGTGGCGGCCAAAAACGGCAGGGATTCTGTTGTGAGGTGCATAGTTAAGGATACCAATCTTGGCCCTAAACTCTTGAACACGGAGGATAAGGACGGGAATACGCCTCTGCATTTGGCTGCCATGAACGGCCATTCTCTGGTCGTCGGTACCCTCGTGTTGAACAGGAACTGCAACTAACAGATTTTGAACGCGGAAGGCTTGGCTCCCTATGGCACGGCTAAGATACGACCTGGAGACGATGAAGGAAGTGAAGAACAGAATTCTGTATGTATATATGTATATGTACGTATGTATATATGTATATGTACGTACGTATATATTTTTGCTGACAAAAATGATGTACATATATATATATTGTTATTACATGTGCAGGGGAGGATAAGAAGTCTTCAGATCAAAAGAATTCTGACCTGGTGAGATTTTAAAACTAATTTTAATCCAGAAATAAATACTGTTAGCAACCCATAATTAGCTGATTTATTTGGAGAACCTCGATGTGATTCTCTACAAATAAAGCTGATTTTACCAAAACTACGTATATTATTACCAAAAGATTTTATTTTATAATATAATATAATTCAAATAATAAAACAAAAGTCATTAAATAAGACAAACTCTTAATATCAAGAGTTTCCATTTAAAAATTATAATTATACAATTCAATTCAATTTAAATTATACAATACTTTTTTGGACCTTGATTGGTGCCCATCCGAATCCAACACCCAGGTGTGTACCCTATATAAAAAAAAAAATTTGACCGGATGGGTGATGGGCATTTTTTTTTTTCAAAGGGGAGTGTGCACACCCGGGTGTTGACCCGGGTGTGCACATATCATTTTCCTATTTTTTTTTTTCATATTATTAATTATTATTATATGGTATCAGCTGGGGAGAAGTCCCTAGATCATAACAAAGCTGACCTGGCAAGCTTTTCAAATTTTAATCCAAAAATATATACTTTTAAATTCCGGTGTGATTATGGTTTTTAATTTTTATTTTAGTTGGTAAATTTTAAATAATCAAAATTAAAAATTAAAATTAATAACTTATGAGATACACATTTTTAAATTTAATACTCTAAACTTCAAATTTAATTAGAAGTAATTTATACAAACGATTTAATTAATTCAATAATAATTTCTTTTCCACTAAAGTTATAGGTTTTAAATTTAAATTTCATAACATATGAATGAGTTGTGTTAAGGGATGAGAAAATATTGTCTTTCAAGATCCCAAGAAAAAGAAAAGTAATTTATAAAATTTCTTAATTTTATTCTAAGATTCTTAAAATTTTAAAAACTATAATTTAAAACTTAAAATTACAACTATATTATACATGACCTAGGCAATCCATAAAGCTAATTTATTTGAAGTACCTTGCTGTGATTCTCTATTTAAATAATTTTAATCTGCCTTTTTTTTTTAAAGTAAAGTTAATAAATATTATATATGTGTTAAAAATATAAAATGAACGCTGTTTTTGTTTTTTAATGTACATCCGATGATTGGGCGTTCCTACCCTTATTCCAAATTCCCTCCCAACTATCTATATTTTGAGTACTAGAAATAAAATGGCCAAAGGGTCTATTTGGACCCTCCACTTAATTGTTTTTCACGGTCAACACCTTCCAAAATTTTTCCTCCTTATTCACACCCTCAATTTTTCAAAACCCGTGAAAAACCCAATATTTTAACGTGCCGTCACGGTACCGTTACAAAATGCACTACATGGCACTCAAAAATTAACGTAACATTATATACCGTTAATAATCCAACGTGGATACTTTTTAATCCAATGTAGACTTTTTTTAATGACGTGGCATATTTTTTGGTGAATAACTTCAAAAAAAAAAAACTATAACTAATAAATTAAAATATATTTAACTTTAATTTTTAATTTTCTATCTTCTTG